GCGCAACATGGCGGGCTTCGCCTATCAATAATAAAATTTAATGTTTCCGAAGCGAAGCGAGGGCGGGTCGCTAGTTCTCAATTTCTCAACATATTTATATAATCTCACATTGCTTGGATGCTTAAATCTTTTTGTATACACTAGCGCGGTTCTATAGCGTTAGTTGTGAGGGTTTGGGCGTATTTTCAACTAAAAAAAAATTAAAATGCTTTTTTAATTTGGGTAAGCAATGGAAACAGTGGACAATTGTGGATTAGATGATAGTTAGCTTTGTTCCGATTATTTCGATTGTAAGCAGTTCCCCCAAGCCCATTGGTAGTTTTTTTTATTGCCTTGATAGGCAAGTAGTTCAGAGGTTCTCGTCATTTATAAACATCAAAAGCTAAATGCTAAACTCTATAAACTGTATTGTATCTGCTATTACCTGCTTTATGGCAGAATTAGAACATAGGCACCCACCTTATACAATGCGCCTAACTAACATACATAACGTATCAGCAAAAAGGCAATTATTCTAGGTTTTTTCAATATTTTCCACAGTTGTGAAGAGTACTTAATGGTACGCAGTGGCTTGACTGTGCCCTTGGTATTGCTGACGTCCATGAGTGATGGACGACTCATCATCCTGTGTGGGCTGTATATTTGCCCGTATCTACAAGGGTAACAAAAAAAAACAACAACAAGAATTATCTTAATTAAAAAAAAAGGCCCAAATTTGGCAAATTTAGATCGTTAACATAATTTTCACGGTAATCATTCTCTAATAGCGCGAAACGTAACGGTAATTACTCAAATTGCCCTATGTTAAATAAACTAAAATGATTATGTAAATAAACGCACATTGATTACACGACGTGAGAATCGGTCAACACCGTAACATCGATTAAAAAGATTACGCCGATTTAGTACACGATAGAGTTATAATTGTTGTCTTCCGCGGTAACGGAATATTTGATTAGGTCACAGATTACTGGCACAGCGCAACGTAACACATACCATGCCAAGACAGACTACAGTTGTTTCATACCTTTATCATTTTTGATGTCACACCACAACCAAACACCTATAGGCGCACGTAAAACCAATTGCTGGCGTGGCGACGCATCCCCGCGCTGTATAATAGTATATATGTACATATATACAGTCTATATGTATTAATGTGTATGGCGTGGCGATGCGTCGCCATGCGCAAGCGACTGTTTCTTGATATTCATATATTATTTTTCATTATGCCAAATTTCCTGTCGTAAACTATCCTTTCATGGATCTATATATACCTGTACAAAATAATATCAATGTTTTACATCTGCCCGCCTTCCCGGAATGGGGTCATTTTGTTTATTCTATCTCAATTTAATTTAAGTACATCGAAGAAATTTTATAATTTTTAACTAATTAATGTCTAAAATTATTTAGTTTATATTATGATTTTATATAAATAGATATCAATAACATTCGCTAATTCGTTTATATTAGCAGGAAATGATAAGTTAGTATAATTGTAAGAGTAATCTTGTAATTAGATCGTAAGATTTAAAAGAGTCCGTAAGTGATGATGATTGCCTAAGGTCTCCAAGGAAAAACGCCGCGTGTATTTGAAATTGTGTCCTATATTCTCAATAATGAATGACAAGAAAATATAAATCTATAGAAACACGAGTTCAATCGAATATTTAGTAAAACTAATATTAAATTCACACACTACATCATTTTAATATCCGTTTGACTTCAAAGGGGTTCAAAGGTTTCATAAACTAAACGTTTTAATGCATGAGTATCTGAATTCTAAACAGTTGGCACAATTGAACTGTGGTCATGACCTTTGATAAAATACCGCTGTATCCTTTCAAAACAATACAGTTTTAGTATTATTAAACTTTCTAAAGCGAGTCATTGAAGTGTTTCGTATTGTCTAGTCTGCAACGAGAAATATAATACGTGACGAATGAAGTTTGTGCAATTGAACAATTAAAAAGTTCGTTAACCTTTACATTCTGTGTATTGATGGTTTTAGGTGATTTTTGACCGAGTTTTCAAATTTCCTTGTTTCATCCGTTAAATGTATGTATTTCCTCTAATCACCAATGAGGTTAATTTTTTCGACGCGGCTAATAGAAAATGAATAAAATCCTGCAGTAAATTAATATTGATTTCCGGTATAAAGGTATTAAATTCTTCGAATAATCGTCACTTAACTTTAAGTTTCAAATCTACTATATAAGTAGACGAATTTCACGGTCTGGTCTGTAGATGCATAGCATGAGTTACAATATTTTTGTGCGATTAAACAAATAAATTCTGGTCACTTGAAAACAAAAACTGCAACATTTGCCATACCAAATACCACCACAGAAATTATCACATTCAATGTAAAACAATCAAAGCCAGAACAGACAAATTAGAATCCCATTTAAACCAAGCACGATGTAAATGATGTTATTTTTAAAAAATTTAGTTACAATATAGATGAAGCTATTCGAAACAGTGATAGATTTTCGTAATTTGCGATTAATGAGAGCGAGATCGCAAGTTACTGGTAATTGTAAAGCTGTTGTTTTTCGTATAGAACGGTATGTGTTTTTTTTTAAATCCTAGGACGGAAAGAGGCGAATGTTTTTTGAGCGTACGTGTCTTAAGTGACGCGCTCTACAGCCTGTCTTTTGACAGATTTAAATGTGTGAGGTACCATTAGATTCGTCTCAGTTTTTGAAATAATACGCACGTTATAAATATGTTATATGCGATGGCGTATGTCCAGCAGTGGGCAGATAAAGGCTGATGATGATGATGATGATGATGATGGCGTTAGGTAGCAGCTTGATCTAAAAGCTAATTGGACTATTGATTCAAGTGTGTTTAGAAAACAAAAAGCAGTGCGATTGCTTGTGCTTAATTTGTCCCTTAAGCAACACTTAAAATTGAATCAGTGAATTCAATTGAATCATTATTTGAGATAATTAATCGTATGACTGTGAGCTTGTGAAAAAAATCAATTATGAATTAATCAGTTATTAATCAAAGTTTGTAGTGTGATCAAAATATTTATTGTTAAATGTATCGTGAAATTATTTTCATAAGAACGAATTGCTAAAATGAATCAATCGTGATCTTTTATGAAGAGGCTATTATCAATCACAACGCAATCCGTTGAGGCCAAGCAATTGATTGAGACTAATGCCAATACATTTTTTTCAAGCTTCGTATAAACCGTCGCATCTGACAAGGTCTAAGAGGTAAGCTTCGTATTTATTTATATTCTACAAAGTTAAGGAAGTCGTTTTGTGTACTTTGCATAATTTTATTAGTGGCAGTGGCAGATTCTGAGTACGCGCTAGTTTTTACTATCGCTTTGCTTGTTTCTGCTCCAAAGCAGTCTTAAGTTACAGTATTTAATTCACTGAAAAGAGTTTAAATAAAAAGCAATGTTGAAAATTTAAATAGAATCAAATTCCAATTTAATTTAATGCTGTTATTGTATGCTTAGTTTATTATCACACAATTATTCTAACTAGAGGTCCCGCAATAGCCGAAATTCGACTATAATTAATTGGAATTGTAAGTTTGTACACTATTATGATTGTATTTTATATGTACTTCTATAATCACAAATTTCGCCAAGACTACACTATAAAAAATATTAACAAAGACAAACAATATTTAATCTCAATTTGGCAACAGACGTCAAGAACAAAAGTTTGACAATAAATAGTATGCATGCGTGTGTGCGTCAAATACATGGTATGTAGTGTGTGTAATGTTTTCTTTATTGATTTAATGTATATTTTATGCATTGTTTTAAAAAAATATTAGCATTGTGCACTTCTCTATATTCTCTGTAAGTGTGGAAAATTTCATACTCCTCCGTCCGCGCAATTTTCGTAAAAAGGGATACAAAGTTTTTGCTTCACTTATTAATATATAGATGATCGAATTCAGTTTCATATTAGTTTCACGTAATTCATATGAAATGTAAACAAAATCGTAGATTTTCAATAAAAATGCAATAACATTAAAGGCGTATAAATAAATTGCGGCGGTGCGCGCTCGCGTCGCATCCACAAAGGGACGCATTGGGAATAAAACTCAATTAGCGATTATATAGTTACGTTTTAATACGATTCGGTGTTTCCACGAGCAAACCGAGCTCGTCCAAATGCAATAATAGTCGAGGTAATAAACTTTTGTTCGAATTCTCCTTTAATTAGTTTTGACTTTTAAATAACTGTAATAACATATTTAAATTACACATTTAGACGGAGATCTTTTTTTTTACAGGATAAAATCGCCGGATCCTCATCCGCGCGGGGGATGGGGTATGTGGGAGTTGAATCTCACCAAAAACTTCTGCCGCTCAAAGCCGACCGATCAGGCCGGGTTCCAGTCGGGGTCATTGAGACGACGGGACAGGGTCGACTCAGGGCATATTATATCCATCCCGCTGTCCCCCAGAGGCCGGACCGGCGGCCGCTGGCGACAAGACCATCGGTCCCCTCGGTCGACGACGAGACGGGATCCCGCCTTGAACGTGGCCTACCATCATCCGGCTTTCTATTACGGGCCAGCGTGCTGAGCACGCCGCCCCACGTCTGGGTCCCTCCCCGCACAAAGCGGGTAAAGCCCGAAGCTCTTAGGGGTCAGGACATGGTGGGACCCCGGTCTCGACCCCCTGCTTGGCGGCGGCGGATTTCTGCGTAGTGAGGAGAGCTTTGCCTCACTCGCCCCGCCACCTCCTTCCGCGAGATGATGCACTCGCAGAAGTCGAGCATAGCCTTCCAGAAAGATGTAGATCTAGTTCGATTTTGAGCCGATTTAAAATTTCGAAACTATTTATGAAGTTTACTAAGTAAAAATAGCATTTATGAATCCAGATTTTAAATTAAAAAAAAGACCAGTGTTGCTCGGAAAATAATACAGGCGTTTTGACAAACATTAAAATTAGCGCCTTTAAATTTCGATAGTATTAAGTATATTGTAAATACTGTATACTTAGTAATACTTACCCCAATAAAATAACAGGAAATCTTCTTTTTTCTTGAAAATGTATCTGTAAACAACAAAAGTGCAAAATTTAAAACATTTAATTAAGTAGTTTCTATAAATAAATGCAAATGTCATTCATAGACATTCTATTGACGCGACTTGAACTAGTAATAAGTGGAACATGACGTAAAGGAAGCCAAAGAAATTACTCTGAACGTTAACACCGGCTTGATTGCTTTCAAAGCGTAGCTTCCTGGATTCGCTTCAAAAGGATCTGTAATGTTGCCAGTCGAAAACATTTTCACGACTCTGGTGACCTTGATTTTGGTCAATTACCTTTTTGAAAAAGGTTATAGCTTTTTGAGGTTTTGGAGAACAATTTTACGGTTCAATAATATCGGCTGATTGAACAATACTTAATATTTACAATAATATTATAATTATTATAATATTATTATTACAATTATTATATTATGATATAATATTTACAATATTTACGTTGTTCCGCTGTTACATGAAACAATAATAAACAAGCGATGTCGATCCCCTTCAAAATAAGTGTGAATCAGTTGGTAGAAACAAAAACTGTAGCTCTAGTTATATACTATTGCATAATTAAAAAACATTAGATAATAGTTTTATATGTGTTTTTTTACCTTTTATTACAAAAAGAGGGTGTATTTAATTTTAAAACAAATTATAGTCACCCTACTCTAGATGCAGGCGAATAAACGTGACTCAATGTACACCGACTAAATTATTCAGATTTCCTCTAGTGAATTACTTGCAGTGGCCCAGCAACTCGAATTTCAGTCTTATTTTGTCGATTCACGCCTTGACACGTTTCAAAATAGACCGCTTTCTGTTTTGTTAACAAACGCTTAGGCTTAGGCGAATCACGAACGTATTTTTAATCTAATTTCATTTCAAGCTCACAATTGGAATTTATTGGGATTTCGCGGGTCGCAAACATATTTAGTACTATTTTTATTGTCAAAAGTTAGTCAAAATATCCATTTGAAACATCGGAATTCATAAAATGAAAATATTGATTGCGAGATAAAGTCGTAAATGTAGTTTTAATTCTTGCGAACTCAAATTTATAAGTCATCAAAATGTAAGGCCAACTTCCAATTGAATTGAGACGAGTGCTATTCTATCATTCAAAATAGGAACGTAGGAGTTATTTTTGGTTGAAATACAGGACATACAGAAATACGGACAGGAAACAGGTAGAAAAACAAGATGAAGGTACAATTTTTTTTTAATTGTGTATTATATTAGGAGAAATATATTTTGATTATTTTTATTTCATCGAGAGGATCGTTCAATAATGTATTTATTCTCGGTTGCATCAAAATTAATGAAAGTTAATTATTTGCTATCTTAATTTAACAAAAAATAATCTACAACTTATTATTGACAACAGCTTACTATTCGCCACACATCGCTTGAACTTTAATTAGCGGGATAGATACGCGCATAGCGTGCTGGATTAACAAAATTTGCACGAAAACAACATTCATTGCGTTCGAATGTGAAATTGAAAACGGGCAGAAACCGCGCGATTCGCACTCAGATTAACTTAACTGGATTATACAATCAACCGTGCATTCATGTAGTTTCCGTAGAAAATATTACTTTCGAGATCTCGCTTGTGATGCGGAGCTGTAGCACCCTCTTGGGTGAACTATTTCGTATGGGAAATTTTTTATATCTTCCTTTGAGTTTAAACCGTTAGCGCACTCGGTGGACACGTTCAGCTATAAAATAAACACTAAAACGATGATACTTTGCAGATTTATATCAGCATGAACCTTATGCAGTCATATTATACAGCACATTTTCTAAACAAATTGTTTTATCGCTATTCCTAAAGAGGATCCGCTCAGTCGCGTACGTAATTCTTCTCAGTCCGCATACAAACAGCCCCTAAGGAGGCGACAATCCTCACCGCAAACAATAAAAATATACATAAAAATAAATTTGATACTTCGAAACCGCGGACCGTGAGGAATATGGAATGGGTTGGCTCCGATGTTTTGCAAACAGCGCGCGATGATCTCGTGAACTTGTCACAGCGCGGCGAACAACAACTTAAATGGTACCATTTTTGTGACGTATAGCGTCATCCAAACTAGGCTATAGCTGCTTTCAGACTACGCTATAATATAATAGCATGTCGTCACTGTCAAACCAAAATCTGCTTTGTGCAAAAACTCTATTTTGAATTAACATTTTCGTATAAAATTTTATATGAAAGTGAATTTTTAAGAACTATATACACATAACAGTTTTTTTATACGGTAAGTAGGGCTGTGAAATGTACGAAACGGTCAAAAAGTAAAAATCTCAAAAATTACACATAGCAGATTTTGGTTTGACAACGACGACATTAGTATATATCATAGCCCAACAATATCGCACACCATACATTGTTATGGACACGTTCACACTATATTATTATTGGCTAAGTATACGGTGCTATACTATATGGCACTATAGTATAGCGTAGTCTGAAAGCAGCTTTAGTGCGATGAAGATAAGGCGGACTTGCACGCGTGTTGTAATGTCGAATGGTAAATTGCATTGTGTGGCGTCTCCGGCGTCAAGATGAAATTGGATTGCGCACTATCCAATGATTTCTGATCGTGATTTTCTTTACTAGTACATGTGACGGTGATATATTTATAAACTTCGATATTGACAACTCCTTCAACGCAATAACATTATCATTGCAAGTACAACGTGCAACTGCTATTGCCAGTTGACTTGCAATTAATCCTGTCAAGTAAATCATGTTTTAATTGTAGTCAATTGTAACATAAATATTTATAGGGAGTCGCTTAAAGAGCGTCCTAAATACATAACACCTCCAGACTTGAATGAGATTATCAAGACTGTGAGCAAGAACAATGAAATACGTGTTCTAAGCATGCATTAGTAAACGATATGCTATACATTACAATGGCAAAGTTAATCGTTCAACAAATCATTATATTGTCTATTATGATATAAAAAAAAAGATGTGTGGTATCATGGGCTACCGGATAGGAACGAAGTTCCTTATTATAAAAATATTAATTTTAAGTTATATTCGAGGTATAAAGAAAATAGTTATTCGGGTGTACATTTCTGACTATGATTTTTTTATTGATAAAAAAAAACTACTTTACTTTATTTTATTCACAATGATTTATAAAAAATGTATAATAAAAAAATATGTTATTTTTTGTACGTTATTACAAAGCTATCTATCTATCGTAGACTGTGTGCATTACTAATAAAAATCTTACGTTACGGACGTTTTTTCCCGGTTAGGGTACCCCTCCGAATCGTCCCATAAGGAACTTCGTTCCAAAAATGTATTTAAATTACTACAAATGTACAAAGAAGACACAAATTCGAAAGTAACAATTTACTTGATTACTCATGAATACAAAATCACTTTTCATTTTGTTTGTATTACTTTAATTACGGATTGAGATAATGCGTGGACTGTTGACTAATGAAAGCAAAAAGTTTTAGGCTCGCACAGCGCGTGGGAAGATCTCACGAGACATTATCTCCTACTGATCCAGTGCACTTCTTACAGATAACGTATTCCGCTTGCGTTCACATAAAAGTGGTTATTGTATTGTTTCGGTTACACTGACGTTTTCGTTCAAACGCATCTTGATTCATTGCTTTCAAAGAGGCTATGTACTGTTAAATTTAAAGGGTAGGAATACGGTCGTTGTAACTTGATTGGATTGCCACATTACTTAGGCAAACGCCCTGCGCTGTGAAAAAACAGAAATCACTACTCTCAAGGTAAGTTCGCTATCGCGTTACACCTCCCTGAACACAGATTTATGTTCTGATTAGTGTTCCAATTAAATACGATTATCTGACTAATTTATTGTAACGTGATTAGGTAAGCTTAAAGGATTATTTCAGCACGAGTCATGGTTACATATAAAAAAAAAACTCGATAGACTTAATTGGTCACGTTTAGCGAGGATTGGAAAAATAACGTCGATTTATATTTTTTACATTTACGTTTTCAAGTTCAATTGAATTGTGTAATTTTATTTTATTACTCAATTTTTTTTATTGCTTAGATGGGTAAACGATCTCACGGCCCATCTGACGTTAAGTGGTTATACCACGAGTAATTATACAAATCATAATTTTGCAGGCTTGATTTTTATTAGACGATGTTATTCCTTGACCGTGGTAATCAATCCTGAACGTTTGTTAAGTACGTATTTCATTAAAAAATTGGTACCTGCCTGCGAGATTCGAACATCGTTGCATCGCTGGATATGAATCCACCGGCCTCTTATCTTTTAGGCCCCGACGAATGTTATATTTTTATGTAACTATGCAGTATGCAGCGGTATTGTTGTGACTCTTGCATTGCTGATGCCCATGACCGTCAGACTACTTGCCAATCAAGTCGACCGTACGGTCGCTTGCCAACAACGGTAATTAAACAAAACCTTGCAAAATTGTTGCTTTATTGTTGTTTAAATCATATTATTCTCTAATTCCTCTACGAGTAGTTGTCTCTTTGAGCAGTGCACGTTTTAAAAATATTCTCAAATAAAGGATGGTAAAGAATAATTTAATTTTTTTATTAGATTGTCTAATATATGCTTATTATTATTATATTAATTAACTTCTTGACTGATTGATTCTTTTAAAGTTGTTCGTTGGATCAAACTATCGTTATTAGTGGCAAGATAAATAGCGTGCTACTAGGTCGTTCTGTGAGCTAATAAAATACAAGAGAATCAAATATGAACACAAGTAAAGGTATTTTAAAAATACGTGAACAATTCTTCAATTTGCACAATAAATATTAAGATCGAGCACATTTTAAACCTTCATTCCATTCAAAATGTGTTAATCAACGATTTATAGTCAGTTTTACAAGTCACGTATTTCCTAATTCTGTGTCTGACGATCATGTTTTAATTGTTGACAATAGTCATTGAGATGACAATAGTATTTGTACATTTTACTTAGTTTTATTTACTGAGTTGTACGGTTCAAAGATGTATACATTTTGTGGTAATA